TTTTTTTTTTTTTTGTATGAATTAAGCTGTTTTATGATTAGGCAAAGTGACAGGCTCAGTTACCATTAAAAATTGACTGAAATGTTTTCGTTTGAGGTAATTCTGACTTCAGGTAGCTAATTTCAGTTTCATTCTTTTTTGACAAAAGGAAACATTAAATTCGCTCTGTTTGCTGAAAATGTCTCTTAATGCCCATTATTTTGAAAAGTTTTTTATATAGAGCAGTTACTTTGTTTTGCTTTGCTGTAACAAATTACAGTTGTCATGAAATTTATGACATACCTCTTATTACTGTTTTGGCTATAGTGCTAGCTTTGGCATTTGAGTCTGCGTTAGCAGGGTGCCTTTATTTTAAAATTAAAATTTATTTAAAAAGTAAATACTTCATTATGATTTACATCATTATAATTTGTGCTATCTGCATAAAGTATTTTTTAAAACATTATAGTACATTGATGTGTAGAATAAAATATTTGAATGGAATCATTTTGACACAAAGTCAGTGGAGTGTGTGTGTGTAATACTAGAAACTGCACTTGCCAACATTTCTAGTATAAGATTAAATACCGCTGGTGATGCAACAGTTAAAATGAAATATAATTTTAACAAAACAATACAGTAGTATTTCATAAGGAAATATTTTTATTTCCCTAATATGTTTAAATAAATTAACATAAAGTAAAATACTTAGCTTATCAGTTGCAGTAGCCATAGTTCATTAGTTTTTAATAGTCTTATGTGGCTGGTGGCTGCTATGTGGGGCATCACAGGTCTTACTATCATTTTTTTAACTTTGGCAGAAATTGACAATGAAGGTGTGATTGAACCAGATACTGATGCCCCTCAAGAAATGGGAGATGAAAATGTAGAGGTGAGTCCAGTGGCTTATTTTCTGCTTGTAGTAAGGAATGTAAAGGTCCCACCTATCGCAATGACTTTTATGATGTAATTCTGCCAGGAAAATCACATACTAAATCTTTCTCTAACTTTAAGGCATTTAGGAAAGCATTTTATTTTAGTACTTAAAACATTTGTAGAAATTCCCATTATTTTGTAATCATACTCTAACAATCTTTGAAATCTTTGTTATTTGTCGTTTATCTGCTTTTTCAATTTGCATCTGGTTTGACTGCTCTTTAAGTTCACCTAACATTTACATTTACAAATGGAATTACTTATTAATGGGATATATAATATTAAATTGGCTTCCAAAGTGATTTTGTCACAATGGGTACAGTGTTACCCTCAAGGTGGTGAAAATTGGTTCTTGGAAGGGGAGCTTACAAAAAAAAAAAACTTACATATTACAATGGTTAGTGGTCTTCCAGAGGGTCATAACATACATGTGGTATATCTGTGTGGTATTAAAATGGAGTGGGGGAGTATTAAAAAATGTCTCAAATGGTTCTTTGGGGTTTGATAATGAGAAAGGCTTGAGAGACACTGAAATATAGTAATTGTGGTTTAGAAGCTTGGTCCATTTCCTCGTCAACACTTGATACTATCAGATTTCATCTCAGCCAGGTGTGAAATGGTATGCCCTTGTGGCTTTCAATTTGAGTTTTTCTGATTTCTAATAAAGTTGAGCATGTTCTAATGTTTATTAGTCATTCATTCACAGGTATTTGTGAAGTCCTATTTTGACTTTACCCATTTTTCTTCTGGTTTGCCTTTTTCATACCGATTTATAGTTCATTTTATATTCTAGAGACTAACAATTTATCATTTATATGTGTTTTACATATTTTCTGCTAGTTTGTGACTTGTATTTTTTATGTTTTAATAAACAATCTTTTCTCTTAAATTGATAATTCTCTTATATATCATGCTTTATTATATCAAGGTTATAATTACTGTAATATATTTTTCCCTTTTGAAAACTTTATGTTAACCTTTCACCTTTAATCTACCTGTCAGCGCTATTAAAGAATTTCTTTCCCCACCAGTGCCAAAATGCACTGTTTCATGTACGTGTGAGCCACTTCTGGTGCTGTGTTCTTGTCTAATTTTTTTCTGTGTGCTGATGACACATTGTCTTACCTTAACCTTAGGGTAAGGACCCCCAGCGGTCTAGGAATATTTTGGCTGTTTTGTTGGCCTTTTTTTTTCCATATAAATTTTAGAATATTATCAAGTGTCATCCCCCCACCCCAAATCTAATTGATTACAATTGCATTAAATCTAAATCAAGTTAGGAGAAGATACAGTTCACTATTGAGATTAACTACCCATGAATCTGTATCTAATTTTTTAGGTCTTTCCTAATGTTTTTAAGTAATTTTTTAGCATTTTCTCCATAAAGCTGTGTGCATCTTTAAGAACAAATATAGGTACTTTTTGTCATTCTTTGTAAAAGGAATTTTTTAAATTATGGATTTTATTTATTGATGATGTGTCACTTTCAGGTATTTAGATTTATAATACTTCATTTGTGCTACTTGGGATATATTGGGCATTTAAAAAAAGTTTTCTAATGCTTTTATTTTGAGAGAGAGAAAGTGGGGGAGGGGCAGAGAGAGAGGGAGATGCAGAATCTGAAGCAGACTCCAGGCTCTGAGCTGTCAGCACAGAGCCCGACATGGGACTTGAGCTTGTGAACTGTGAGATCACAATCTGAGCCAAAGTTGGACAGTTGACTGACTGAGCCACCCAGGGGCCCCTGTTGGGCATTTTAAATTCTAGGGTTAACTTTCTTCGTTCTGGAACATTCCAACTAATACCTTTCAAATATCGCCTCTTCCCCATTCTCTCTACTGTCATTCTGGAGCCCTAGTTAGATATGTATTAGATTTTTTCACTATTAAGTTTCATCTCTTTATCACTGCTGAATGATGTATGCTGTTGATGTTTGAATTTGAATGCTTGTGTTTTTCATCTTTATGTTTTGCTTTGATTCATTTTAAAGTACACTTGGTTATTTATAAGTCACTTTTTCCTTACTTTCAAAATGTGCCTCTATTTTCTTAAACACATTAAAATCTTTATCAAACTCTTACTGGCCTTATTCTTTTACTTTTCCTGACTCTTGCTCATTTATTTGTGGATGATTTGTGTGTGTGTGGATATTTTGACTGTGTGTACTTATGTGTTGATATTTTGACCATGAGTTCTTTGACATTTCACCCGTGGAAAAGTTTTTGGGGCCTGGGTAGAAGGTGTATTCCTCCAAAGAGGGAAGTGTTTGCTTCCATCAAGACTCTGGATTGGAGCTACCAAGTCAAGAACCACTTTAAAATCTCAGCATGGTTTTTCTGTTGTTTGTGTTAACTATACAAGTAATATGAATTCCACCAGAAACTCTGGCTTATCATTATAAGTTTACAGGGGAGTTTCTTTTTCTTTCTACTTGGCTGTTCCTTTCATTGGGACCAATTTATTTTGGGTTTGCTATTCTTGCAGGTATAGGCATGTGGGTGGGATTCCAGATTTATTGGAGCGTATCTGATTAGACAACATGTATTCTCTTCACCTGAATCTAGATTTTCTTTCATGTGTCCACTACATTCAAAAACAGAATTGTGAGATCACCGGGTTTGACACCTGCTAAAAGGGTGAAAGCAGATGGAGTACTTGGCTACCTTACTGGATTTCAAGTCTTCATTTAATCTTGTTCTTTGAGGATTTCTACATTCTTATGTCAAAGATGACTTTTACATTTATTCAGGGTTTTATGTGTACCATGTTGCCATAAACTGAGTTTTTTTTTTTTCCTTTTTAATTACTCTGGATTTGTAGGATGTCTGACTATCTGGTAAAGTGTGTCTTTGTTCTTTTTTGTTCTCTGTTTGAAAAAGATTTTTAAACTTGTAGGAGTTTTTGTTGGAATTTGAATTTACTGAGTAACTTGCGGTTCGGTTGAAGTATTCAAAAAATTTTTTCTTGGGGCACCTGGGTGGCTCAGTCAGTTAAGCCTCTGACTCTTGATCTCAGCTCAGGTCTTAATCTCAGTGTCATAAGTTCAAGCCCCGTATTGGGCTCCATGCTCAGCGTGTAGCCTACTTTTCAAAAAAATTTTTTTTTCCCCATGAACATGGTATACATCTTGTGTTCTTTAATAGAATTTTACTTTTTCTCTCCATGAAAGTCTTACATGTTCTTAGAATGGTATCCTGTTCTGTCCAGTTTTGTAATTGATTTTTGCTGATGTGGAGGAACTCTTATTTTTTTATGTTGTTTGTGTGTTTCTAAGGACTTTATTGAATTGTCTTAGTAGATCTAACAACCTGTCAGTTCTATTGGGTTTTCTAGTTAAATATGAAGACAGCTTGGTGTTTCCTTCCAATTCTTAAACCTGTCAAGTTATTTTCTTAATGAACTAGCCAGCAGCAGTAATATTTTTTACACAGTGGTTAATGGTGGAATGAATCTTTTTGCCTTTTTTAAAAGAAATAACTACTTTCCATTTAGGTAGGATGTTTGCTCTAAGTTTTTGTTACTAATGATCATTGTACTGTCAACATCTTGTATTCAGTACAGTATAGGTACTCTGTAGGTCTTTGTTCGAACAAAAGGATGAGACATTTCACTTAAAATTCAAGTATAACAGGACTTAGTTACATCTTTATGAGGAGATTGAGTTTTAGTATTTGTGAATAACTAGAAAGGAGTTGATAAGACCAGGGCAGGAACATCTTGCTTAGGTTGGTTGGGATGGAGGGACACAAAGGTGATGTCTAAAGTAAAGGTAGGGAGTGCAATTTATTGTTCATTATGAAAGATTAAAGCTCATCCTGTGTAATTTCTTACTAATCATTTACCATAGTTATCCTCTTTGTTCCCTGGAAACAAGAGAAGAATGAGTGAAAATGAGGGTTATATCTCCCCATCCCTAAGAAAGCCCAAGCTGCTTCCTTCTCTTTGCTTTCTCTGTTACTTCTAAGTTGACCTACGATTTCCCCCTAGATAACCGAGGAAATGATGGATCAGGCAAATGATAAAAAAGTGGCTGCCATTGATGCCCTAAATGATGGTGAGTGATTTTTTTTTCGTCTTTGCTATATTTCTATATATTCTCTTTTTCCCTGCAGCAGCTGTTAAAATAGTGGAAAAGTGGAAGGGAATTTAAATTTGCTGAGTCTCTTATACTGGAGAAGAAAGTAAGCGTCCTATTCTCTACCCACCCCTTCCCCTTTGATAAAGAGGCAGAAACCACTCAGGTATCAATTACCTTGCCTCAGGGCATTGGACGCATCTTTCTGTGACTCAAAGACTCCTTTACCAGCTATATCCTTGTGTTTCTACACTGAGAAGAGGCAAAAGTCTTAAAAAAAAAAAGGGTAGTAGTAGCAGCACAGTGACTCTTAACTTTTGACACAGCAATACCCTTGGCAAATGATGTCCATAGGATAATAACATTCTTATTCTAATCTTTACATTTTAGATCCACTTCAGAAAATCCTTTCAAAGTGGGAGACTGCTGGTAGTATTAAGCATAATGTTGAATCAGTTATAATTTATAAAAACAAATCCTTTCTTGGGTGCTGTGCAGACCCTTCCATAGCTGTGTGTTAGTGTGCCACAATGCCATTGTGGTGGGGCTGCTGCTGTCTGTTGCTGGAGTGCGTTTGGACTTCCGCCTGTAGAATTAGAAGATGACTGAACTTTAGGAGTTTAGCGTTGATTGCTATTCCAACTTGGCAAATGTATTCACTTTGTTTTTTTTGTGATCTCACCACCTTCTTAGTTTAGGTCATTTTCACATGTTTATGCCATTGCATTAGCCTCAATAATTTGCCTACCTTAAATGTCTAGTTCCTTTATTGCTTTCTGTTCACTGTCCCTAGATTATTCTTTCTTAGAACCGCTTTTTATTTCCACAAATTCCTTTGCTTGTAACCTCTGACTAGCTTTTTGCACACTTTCTGAAGATCTTCATCAAGGCATTAAACCTGCTAGAGTCAGATCCCATATTTTGCCTTCCCAGCCTTGTTCTCTTCTTTTTGAATATTAACCTCTCATTACAGCCAGACCTTGCTGTCCTAGAATGTTCCTACACTTGTGCTCTGCTGCTTCTCTCTAAAGCTCTTCTTCACCTATTTCTGCTTTAATTCATACCCATCAATTGATCTCAGCCACTTCTCTTCCTGACCACTCCTTTTCCACACTAATCTTTTAATTTTACTACTACCTAATGTCTATTTATCCAACATTTATTTTGTGCTTTCTACCTACCTGACAGTTTTATTGTATTTAATGTGCATTATTTCATTAAAACCTCATACTACTCCCGTTTTACAGGTTAATGAATAATCTGAGGTCTCAGAAGGGTTTTGACTTGTGCAGGATCTTACTGTGCCATGATACCAATTCATTTATTATTTTTGTCACTTAATTTTGGCATATTGTTTTATATTTCTTAAATTTGTTTTCTTATTATTGCCTTAGCAATTTTTAATAAAATGAAGCTGCTGCCGCTACCTAATAAGTCATGTTCTTGTTTTTCCACATTTCTTTCCAAGCTGTATTCATGTGTAAATTTAACCTAGTTCTAGTTTTAGAATAAATGTAATTTTATAGTATATCGTAGAGGGATAAAACATTAGTATTCTAAGCCTGGGATTGTAGATTCAGGCCCTGCGTGGGGTTGGAGAGACAGGAATATAATTAAACACTGAACTTAGGAAGCCAGAGTGCCTGGGTTTTGAATCCCAGTTCTGGCACTTACTAGCTAGGCAAACTTAGAGAAGTTACTCTTTGTCTCTGCTTCTGTTTCCTTTGTACGATAAGGATAATGTACCTACATAGTATATTGAGGAATAAATATGTGTATTATGCCTAGAATAGTATCTGGTACCATTCTTACTAAGGTAGTGGTTTTTTTTTTTTTTTTTTATGTTTATTCATTTTTGAGAGAAAGCATGAGCAGGGGAGGGGCAGAGAGAGACGGGGACATAGGATCCGAAGTGGACTCTAAGCTGACAGCAGTGAGCCCGATGCGGGGCTCAAACTCACGAACCGTGAGATCATGACCTGAGCTGAAGTCAGACCCTCAACCAACTGAGCCACCCAGGCTCCCCAAGTTACTGGTATTTCTAAAGTGTCAGTATTCTTACTGAATTTAAGTTCTTAGTAAGTGTTTTTAGCTGTCACGTTATTAGTTATGTTACTTTTATTATGCTTTTCTGTTTAATATATTTAAAGCTTAGCATGTTCTAGGCAGTGTTTTTATTTTATTTTCTTAATATTTATTTTTGAGAGAATGAGCATGAGTGGGGGAGGGGCAGAGAGAGAGGGAGATGGAGAATCTGAAGCAGGCTCTGTGCTGTTCCTGCAAAGCCTGACTGGGGACTTGAACCCACTAGCCTTGAGATATTATGACCTGAGCCGAAGTCACACGCTCAACAGAGTGGGCCACCCAGGCACCCCTCTAGTCAGTGTTTTATTTTTTATTTTTAAGATTATTTTATATTCATTTTTGAGAGACAGAGGGCGAGCGTCGGAGTGGCAGAGAGACAGGGAGTCACAGGATCCGAAGCAGGTTCCAGACTCTGAGCTGTCAGGACAGAGCCCGACACGGGGCTCAAACTCACAAACCGTGAGATCATGACCTGAGCTGAAGTCAGACCCTCAACCAACTGAGCCACCCAGGCGCCCTAGGCAGTGTTTTAGATGCTAGATATACAGTGAAAAAAACAAAAGAGACCATGTTTTTTTCCTTTGAACCTCATATATTACTGGGGAACAAAACCAAATTGTAATTTATTTTTTTTTTTTTAATTTTTTTTTTTCCAACGTTTATTTATTTTTGGGACAGAGAGAGACAGAGCATGAACAGGGGAGGGTCAGAGAGAGAGGGAGACACAGAATCGGAAACAGACAAATTGTAATTTAATGTTGGGTGGTAATAAGCGTGATGAAGAAAAATAGAGCTGAGTAAAAAAAATAGTCACTGATGAAAGCTATGTTTTGCAAAGGGTGGTCAGAAAAGTATATGATGAAGTGAGTAAGCAATGTGAGGAAGAGCCTTTGAGACAGGTGAAGAACAAGTAGCATAACAGAAGGGCCTTGTAGCTGGAGCGAGGCGAGTGAAGGGGTAAGAATGGCAGATGGAGTTGAGGTCATAGAAGCACTTTGGAGTAGTGGGAGATGGGCGGTGGGAAGGTGGTGGGGAAGATAGATCACTAAACTTTGTAGGTTAGGCTAAGGACTCAACAATTTTATCCTTAAGGATGATTGGGAAGCTATTGAGGTGTTGTGGGTAGGGGTTTTTGTTTTTGAGTAGGAGAGCTTCATTGTGAGATGTATTTACTTTTGAAAAGGATTATTCTTGCTCTTTTATGTAAATCAGGTTATAGGGGCAAATAAGGGTATGTTCATTGCAGAAGAAGAAGTCAAAATGTGTTGATGTGCCAGAAATCTAAGAAAATACCTGAGAGGGAAAATAGGGGGAGCGGGGAGAGCCAGAGGAGTTTGGAAGGCAGTGAGAAAGTTGTGTAAGTGTTTATTCCTGTGTAGGAGAGAAACACAATCCTCTATGGGTGTGTTTCTAAAACGTCTTGGCGGGGCGCCTGGGTGGCGCAGTCGGTTAAGCGTCCGACTTCAGCCAGGTCACGATCTCGCGGTCCGTGGGTTCGAGCCCCGCGTCGGGCTCTGGGCTGATGGCTCAGAGCCTGGAGCCTGTTTCCGATTCTGTGTCTCCCTCTCTCTCTGCCCCTCCCCTCTCATGCTCTGTCTCTCTCTGTCCCAAAAATAAATAAACGTTGAAAAAAAAATTTTTTTTTGAAAAAAAAAAAAATTTAAAACGTCTTGGCAAGCCAGAGTTGTCCAATAGAGGAGTTAACAGTCTCACAATAATGGGCCAGTCTTGGTGTCCTTGCTGTTATTTAGTCATTAACATTAGCTGGGAGCAGCTTATGAAGTGTATCCTCGAGCACAGAAGATGGGGTTCTCTGGCTCCTCACAGCAGATACAAAGTGCATTGTCATGATACTACAGAGGGAATGCAAGAAACCAAGTCATATTTTATAATCCAAGTGGCTAATAATGATGGCTTGGATTAGGGCAAAGAGTCTCAGACTTTCTCTGTTCCTAGTGTCCTTACTGTCATGACTTGAACATACCTTTTAGGCCAAAAGAAATGGCTAAGAGTTCCATTTATAATGTAGTTAGGTCCAAATAATTTAATAAGTATCTGTGTCATAACAAGTTAGTGATTGGAAAATCATATACACAAATTGAAAAAATATATTTAATCTTATTCTTACGTAATATTTGTTTTCTAATAAGCGATGTATATATTTGGGCCCTAAATAGCTTTTCGAATCTTGGATTCATATTGAACACTGCCACCCTCATTTCCCGTTCCACATCTGTTTTTCTACAGTTCTTACTTTTTTGTCATAGCAATCAGTAAAAACAGTTTTAGATTGGGGAGTTGAGAATGACTCCCAAGATTTGGGGCATGAGGTAGATGACGAATTAGCCAAACTATAGCCTCCTATTTTTATAAAAATGTAATGGAACAACATAACCACATGCATTTGTTTATGTGTTGTCTGCAACTACAACAGCAGAATTGAATAGTTGATGATTGCAAGAATAATTTTTACGTGGACCTTTCCAGAAAAGTTTGCTGACCTCTAAACTAGAGTGAATGAAAGAACCACATATTTAGTTGATAATATAAGGATGAGAAGTGGATTTTAGAGATGGGGTCAGAGTTAAGAGTTCAATTTTGAACTTGGTAGCTGTGAATTACTTATTAGACCTCCAAGCGTAATAATTTGTAATAGACATCTGCAGTAGTAACTAATGACATTCCACATTCTTCTGCATTGTTTAGGAGTTCTGTTAAAGTTCTTTCTTTACACATTTACTAGCTGGGTAAATGTATTTTCCAAAGTGAACTGTGACATTACCTTTAAAACTCTGTGTTTGTCTTCCCTCCCCATGTTTCCTATGCCCAAGAATTAAACTTTGTGCAAAGACTTATTCCAATTGTATAGTATGTTTTATTTGTTGAATGACTTCACTGAAGGCACTAATACACAAAGAAGCTAACTAACTATGTGAATAGGATACACAGTAAATGAATTTAAAATGTGAGTTATGGACTTTGCATGAGTTCTGGTTTTCTTGAATTTTTATATCATTCCTGTGAATTCAAATAGTATTTTTAATCAACCCTGTAAATTTAGTATGAGTACTTTTTTCTTTGTAAGTTTAATTTTATCCTTTTATTTTTTTTCTTTAAAAAAAACTCATGAGTCCTACTAAGAATGGGAGATATTTCTTATTCTTTATTTCTCAACCTGTTTTACTTTAGGTGAACTACAGAAAGCCATTGACTTGTTCACGGATGCCATCAAGCTGAATCCTCGCTTGGCCATTCTGTATGCCAAGAGAGCCAGGTGAGAGCTCTAAACAAAAAAAGCATCCCTTTCTGCTGTGAATAATTTCTGCTCATTGATTTCAATAGAATTGCTTCTGTGACTATCCCAAAGGTGTTATTGTTCGAAATGAATACTTTTTTTTAATGTTTGTTTCTTTTGAGAGAGCATGCCCATGCGCAGGGGAGGGGCAGAGAAAGGGAGAGAGGAGAGAATCCAAAGCAGGCTCCACTCTCAGCACAGAGCCCAATGTGGGGCTTGATCTCACAACTGTGAGATCATGACTTGAACCGAAATCAAGAGTCAGACGCTCAACTGACTGAGCCAACCAGGCGCCCCAAAATAAATACTTTTTAATGTTACACTTCTTTTTTAGTGTCTTCATCAAATTACAGAAGCCAAATGCTGCCATCCGAGACTGTGACAGAGCTATTGAAATAAATCCTGATTCAGCTCAGCCTTACAAGTGGCGAGGGAAAGCACACCGGTAAATAATGGAATTTCATTATTTTCAGAATTTTTTAATTTTTTTTTTTAACGTTTATTTATTTTTGAGATAGAGACAGAGCATGAACAGGGGAGGGGCAGACAGAGAGGGAGGACACAGAATCGGAAACAGGCTCCAGGCTCTGAGCCATCAGCCCAGAGCCCGACGTGGGGCTCGAACTCACGGACCGTGAGATCGTGACCTGAGCCGAAGTCAGTCGCTTAACCGACTGAGCCACCCAGGCGCCCCAGAACTTCTAAAATTTAAATCTGATGTTTTAATATGCCTTTAAAGCAAAACGAAGTTGCCCAAGGATTTAATTTCAAGATAATATGTGCTTGATAATAATTGAGGGACTATAAGGAACAAATAAAAATTCATTTTATTTCTTCAAAGAAAACCATTGTTTTACAGTTTTTGACTACATAGAGTCAAATTTAAGGTAAGGATCAAAATTATTTCTAAAAAAGAACATGGCCTTACAAATTTTCTTTTAATTCTGTAATCTAACGTTAAACAATATGTTGTAGAAGAAGGAATTCCTTAGCCTCAAACTACTTTAGTTACTTACAGGCCACCTGAAAATCAGAAAAAGGGGAAAATAAAGAAGTGAATTTATCCTAGCTTAGTCATCATTTCCTGGAAGCAAAACTTAATGTTATACAAGTGAGTATTTGTGGCTTGGGGATGAGATGTCCAATGACATTTACATCTTATGTGGATTAGAAGGGTGTTGTACTCCAAGTGTGGATGGGAATGAAAATGGATATGCATGGGACAACTGTATTAGGTACTCAAAAAAGCTCTGGTGATTATGAAGATGCACGTCAAAGATAAAGGTAAAAGATTAGAATTAGTGCTCTGGGAGTCAAAAAGTTCATGTATTGCTGTTGATCCTCTTGAGAGCCCAGTAATCTTTGAGCATTTCTTTGCTTTATGGTACAAGGTAGCATGGGCTCATCTCCTGTTTTGCTTGTCCTAGACTCAGAAGAAACCATTTCTCCAAGAAACTAGGGTTCATTTTTGTGAGGATAATGTTTACAGAAAGTAAAGTTTGGCCATTAGATATGTTCATTGCCTCTGGGATAGCATTATTTCTGTCATTTCATTGAACAGAGTTAGAAAAACATTTTTTAAATAATGATTTTAAGGAAAAAAGTTATGAAACCTTGAGTTTATACTGATGTTTTCAATTAAAATTCAATATTAAATGTTTTCCCTTTTATTTTGCATTTTTAAAATTTATTTTTTAAATTTACATCCAAGTTAGCATATAGTGCAACAATGATTTCAGGAGTAGATTCCTTAATGCCCCTTATGCATTTATCCCATCTCCCCTCCCACAACGCCTCCAGCAACCCTCTGTTTGTTCTCCATGTTTAAGAGTCTCTGATGTTTTGTCCCCCTCCCTGTTTTTATATTATATTTTTGCTTCCCTTCCCTTATGTTTATCTGTTTTCTATCTTAAAGTCCTCATATGAGTGAAGTCATATATTTGTCTTTCCCTGACTAATTTCACTTAGCATAATACCCTCCAGTTCCACCCACATTGTTGCAAATGGCAAGATTTCATTCTTTTTGATTGCCAAGTGATACTCCATTGTATATATGTATGTATGTGTGTATATGTATATATGTATGTGTGTGTATGTATACACACACACAGATACACACACACCCCACATCTTTATCCATTCATCCATTGATGGACATTTGGGCTCTTTCCATACTTTGGCTATTGTTGATAGTGCTACTATAAACATTGGGTGCATGTGTCCCTTCGAAACAGCACACCTGTATCCCTTGGATAAATACCTAGTAGTGGAATTGCTGGGTCGTAGGGTAGTTGTATTTTTAACTTTTTGAGGAACCTCCATGCTGTTTTCCAGAGTGGCTGCACCAGTTTGCATTCCCACCAGCATTGCAAAAGAGATCCTCTTTCTCTGCATGCTCGCCAACATCTGTTGTTGCCCGAGTTGTGAATGTTAGCCATTCTGACAGGTGTGAAGTGGTACCTCATTGTGGTTTTGATTTGTATTTCCCTGATGATGAGTGATGTGGAGCATTTTTTCATGTGT